AGAATTACCACAGTGAAAGGCCTATATTCTTTTTTTTTTGAGAAAGGATCTCACTCTGTTGCCCAGGCTGAAGTGCAGTGGCACGATCTCCAATCACTGCAACCTCCGCCTCCTGAGTAGCTGGGACTACAGGCATGTGCCACCATGCATAACTAAGTTTTATATTTTTAGTAAAGACGGGGTTTCACCATGTTGGCCTGGCTGGTCTCAAATTCCTGACCTCAGGTGATCCACCCTCTTCGGCCTCCCAGAGTGCTGGGATTACAGGTGCGAGCCACCACGCATGGCCAATATTGTTGTATGAATCTAATACTACTTGTGTAGTGGTATGATATTAATTAATGATGGATTATAAGAATCTATTCTGTAATCTCTGCGACTATTATAAATATAAAAGGATTTAGCTTACAAGCCAAAAGAGCAGAAAACATTTGACCTAAAAAAGGCAAGCACACAGAAATAAAGCCTACAGAGCATATTTCTTTTGGAGAATGAGAACAATATTAAGAACCTAGCAATTAAGTGAACACAAGCAGTTGTCTACTTTGCTTAAATAACAATCTACATTACTTACAAATGCAAATTTTTGTCAAAGTCTAAAATGTGGCTGGGTACAGTGGGTCACGACTGTAGTCCCAGCACTTTGAGAGGTCAAACTGGGAGGACTGCTTGAGACTAGGAGTTCAAGCTCAGCCCGGGTAAGAAAGTGAGATCCTGTCTACCAAAACAAAAAAGGACAAAAAAAGGAAATTTGCCACCTCTCTCAAAATCAGAGAACATGAGCATTATTAGTCATCTTAAAAAAGTGCAGGAGATTCCACCTTGATTCTTCTCATGCTACTTAGGAAAATTTAGATTAGCTTCTGGTAGGGCAGTATCTCTGAAAGGAGGGGAGGGAACGAGGGAATCTTATCATTAGTGCAGCACGGCCAGTCATGACCAAATGCAGTCTGATCCTTACCTGCCCTGCTCCAAAAGGACAATATCCTTCCACCCCATTTTGGAGAGGTGATAGGCCACGGATGTGCCCATGATTCCACCCCCACAGATGACCACCTGTGCCTGGGTGGGCAGGGCCACGGAACGTGCCTCGGCAGCTGACGTGCTGCTTCTTGCAGAGGACCAGTTCTGCCATCCTGGGCTGGTTCTTTGTCTTCCAACAACTGACAGCAACCGGCAGAACATCACTTCTCTCAGCAACTAGCAGATCTCAGGAATTCAAACTAGACAGAGAAACCAAACATATTTCAGGCCATTCAACTCAGTGCTCGAGACTAATGAGAAAAGGATTTGACAAAGAACAGTAGTCATTCATTCAACAAATATATGAGGGCGTACTGAGTTTCATTCTGCTAGCAGTGAACAAGAATGGGGAAGTCCCTATCTTTACGAAATTGACATTTGAGAGTTTGCATATGTGAACAAGGAGAGGGTCAATCACACAAGTAAATAAAACTGATGTGATAGAATAACTAGGGGCATATTTAAAATGGAATGGTCAGGAACAGCCTCCAAGGAACTGACATTTGAAAACAGACCTGAAGGATAGGGAACCAGTTACACATGTGCAAAGGCCTTGAGGTAAGACTGACCAAGAACAAAAAGGAGGTCAGTATGTACACAACATGGGGCACAAGGGACAAGATCTAAGACAACACTGGAGAGGCAGGCAGAAATCAATCACACAGAGTCCTTGGTTGCTATCAACAGGAGCTGGAATTTTATTCTAAGTACAAAGGAGAATCACTAACACAGGGGAATGAAATGATCGGGGATGTTCTTTGTTTTTTTTTTTGGTGGGGGTTGGGGAGGGATTTTTTTTTTTTTTTAAAGGTCAGTCTGGCTCCATGGTGGAGAGTGGATGGTAGAATTACAAGAAAAACAGAGTTGACCTCCTGGGCTCAAGTGGCCCTCCCACCTGGGTCTCCCAAAGCGTTGAGGTTATAGGCGTCAACCTCTGCACTTGGCCAAGGCAGGGTTTTAACAAACTTACTCTAACAGCAAAACAGATGACTATTCAAGTTTCAAGAAACTGAATAAAGAAAGACCTACTGGCTGTCCATGCAGTCATTTGTACAGGAAGATGAGGACTCTGAGATGAGAGGTGGCAGACCAGGGGGGCCTCAGGGCAGCTCACTGCTAGTCATCTCACCGCCTCCACTGCCAGCCACAGGACCCACAGATGCTCCCCAATCAACCCAAATTGTCTAAGGCCAAGGTCTCTCAGAGGACTCTCAGGATTGCAACCAATGCAAACATAGACTGTGTCCAGGCAGATATCCCATCCAACTGGAGACAAATAATCTTGGCCAACTTGTGGTTGCTACCATGCCTCTCATCCCTCGTCCCTGTTAAGCTCTGTCTCAAGATAAAGCCTTCTCTACCCGGCTAGTCTTTCCATAATCTCATCTCCACATGACCAATTTATTTCCCTCACCCAAGCTCTCTTTGCTTTCCTCCCGCTCAAGCCCCTCTACTGCACCCTCTAGAATACCTTTCCCAAAGGTAAACCACCACCCCTTTGCTGACATTCTCTCTACCCTCTGTCCCAACGGCAATGCAGCTTTCCTGGGGAACTGCAGCTGCCAAATGGCAAACCCTGTCCCATTGACTTTGCTGTCATCCTCCTGGCTTCTGACCCGTTACCACTTGGTTATACTTGAAAACTGCCCTGCTCCTTGGTGGCTTAGGCTAACACATGGTAAGCCACAGGCAGACCTCTGCTTGTACTGTTTCCAAGCCCAGCTGCTCCTCTCTCAACCTTCAGTCTCATCTTCTTTCTTCCCTCATTCTAAGCAGAAAGCCTGTCTCATCTCATTCCCTGAAACCCTTTCCACAGACCCACTTGCATCTGCAATCATCTGTTCCTTCCTTTATAAAACAGAATGTTAATCTCCCCAAGTGCCCTGGATCCCACTTCCTCCTCTTCTCTTGCCCCTAGCTCCATCAACTGCTGTCTCTCTTTCATGGACCTGCAATGTTTCCCTCCCTTTTGGTTTCTTTTCCTCCGCATTTAAAAATTTTTTTTTTTTTTTTGCGATGGAGTCTCACTCTGTTGCCCAGACTGGAGTGCAATGGCACAATCCTGGCTCACTGCGATGTCCACTCCTGGGTTCAAGCAATTAACCTGCCTCAGCCTCGAGTAGCTGGGATTACAGGTGTGCGCCACCACACCCAGCTAATTTTTGTGTTTTTAGAGATAGGGTTTCACCACGTTGATCAGGCTGGTCTCAAACTCCTGACCTCAAGAGATCCACTCACCTCTAGCATCCCAAAGTGCTGGGATTACAGGCGTGAGCCACCAAGCCTGACCTCAGTGACTGTCTGATGCCCTCAGGAAAAAGGCAAAATTCTTTTACTATCAATTGCAAGATCCTTCACAATCTGGTTCTTATCTGTGGTCTCACTTCTCCTGTCCTCTGATCAAGCCAGACTGAACAACCTGTAATTCCTCAAAGGTATCAGGTAAGGCGTGAATGTTCTATTCAGCTCTGGGTTCTGTGCATGCTGTTCCCTCCTGGCATGGTTCCTGCCACCCCTCCCCCAAATACAGGTAATCTCCTCAGGTTGCAGCCTCTTTGACATCTTATCTGACACACTCACTCTCCTACCCCAACACTTGGTTAGGCGACTCTTCTATGTTTTCCTATAACAAACTGCACTTCTCCCAGGACAGAATTTACCACGCTGCACAATGGTCTGTCTGCCAATCAGAGAAGCAACACGCCAACACAGCAGGGAATCCAGGCTTTGTGGGTAGAGAGGACTGGGTCAGAAAACATTCCCCACCTCTCACCAGCTGTATGACTTTCAGCAAGTTACTAAATCTCTATTGTTTGAGGTTCTTTTTTTTTTTTTTTGAGATGGAGTCTTGCTCTGTCACCAGGCTGGAGTGCAGTGTGAGATCTCAGCTCACTGCAACCTCCACCTCCCGGGTTCAAGTGATTCCCCTACCTCAGCCTCCCGAGTAGCTAGGACTACAGGTGCACACCACCATGATCGGCTAATTTTTGTATGTTTTAAGTAGAGACGGGGTTTCACCATGTTTGCCAGGCTGGTCTTAAATTCTTGAGCTTGTTATCCACCTACTTCGGCCTCCTAAAGTGCTGGAATTATAGGTGTGAGCCACTGCACCCAGCCTGAGGTCCTCACCTGCAACATGGGCTAGGAACATCTACCTCACATGGTTGCCGCAAAGACTAAATCAGATAATGCAGGAAGAACATGGTACAGGCACCCAAGAAGCACTCAGTGAGTGGTAGTTAGTCTTTATTTTTTGAGATGGAGTCTTGCTCTGTCGCCAGACTGGAGTGCAGTGGCACGATCTTGGCTCACTGCAACCTCCATCTCCTGGGTTGAACCAATTCCGCTGCCTCAGTCTCCTGAGTAGCTGGGACTACAAGCATATGCCACCTCATCTGGCATTATTTTTTTGTATTTTAGTAGAGACATGGTTTCACCATGGCCAGGATGGTCTCGATCTCCTGACCTCATGATTTGCCCACCTTGGCCTCCCAAAGGGCTGGGATTGTAAGCATAAGCCACCACACCCTGCCTGTTTATTACTTTTTAAGACGAGGTCTCACTCTGTCACCCAGGCTGGAGTGCAGTGCCATGATCATGGAACACTGCAGTCTCAACCACCCAGGCTCAAACGATCCTCCCACCTCAGCCTCCAGAATAACTGGGACCACAGGTGTGCACCACCACGCCCAGCTAATTTTTAAATTATGAATATTTGTAGAGATGAGGGACTCACTTCCTTGCCCAGGTGGATCTTAAGCTCCTGACCTCAAGTGATCTGCCCACCTTGGCCTCCCAAAGTGCTGGAATTACAGGTATGAGCTACCACGCCTGACCTATTATTTTTCTATTATAATGGAACTAAGAGTAGAAACCTTTTAAATTGCTCAGTTTTCCTAGCATTCCACACAGGAACCTAGGAAATAATCTCTGTTCATGAATGAGAACAGAGAACCAAGAAGATGGGGGAAAAACATCAACGATCACTCAGAGACCTCAAAGGTAGGCCCCCAGATTTGAGGGAATATCTAAATACCTGAGAGAATTATTTTTATTTTTGTTTATTTCTTTTGAGACGGAGTCTTGCTCTGCAGCCCAGACTGAAGTGCAGTGGCGTGATCTCGGCTCACTGCAACCTCTACCTCCCCGGTTCAAG